ATATAATTTGTCTTTCAAAGATTCATTTGGGGAGCTTAGACTTAAGATTTTCCTTGGGTTTAGGTTTAGGGGGTTTAATAAATCCTGCAGCTCTAACTTGGTTTTTAGTGTGGAAGTCTGTAACTCTTCCAGAAGACTGCAGTGTCTCATCGCTTCAGTGTTCAGAATCGAGTAAAAGCTGTTCACTGAGACAGTGAATTACTGAACAAGAACCAGGCTACCACACTTAACTACTGTTTTACAAGAAAACTTCAGGTTTGCTTATACACTGTTATCTTTTACTCCCTATCACATTCAGCCACTCTGAAAACAAATTCCCGAACCCCCTCGAATCTGGCCCTATCTGTCTGGGATCATGGCTTTCCATGAGAGTTACATAATACAGAGTAATTAAACCATTGACCAACTGCTGCTACCATGGGGCAAAAGAATTTTTATAGGAACCAGACATGGGGTCTGCAATGTACTTCAGAACCACTGTGAGATGAAATTGCCTCCACAACCAAATTCAAGGTTTTCTGCCAACTTCATTCCGTCTTCTCCAACAAATTGTAGCAGCCCTCTCATCGCACTTACAAATTAAAATGTCCACAGACTATCAGCAGTGTCTTCTATGACATGGGAATGAAGACAGAGATGATTCCACTTTCCCAACATTTACATTTTGGGGATGATCACATATTACAGATAGAGAGGCCATGTATACCCAAATGCTTGATAAAATTTAAAAGCACTTGTTTATGGGAAGGTGGAGAGGATTCTCTTTGAACTTCTACTTTAGTCTTTATGGGAAGAAGGTGGCAGAAGCTGAAAGTTAACCAAGATAAATTTTAGGACAGACTTTCAAACAACTTTGTTTTTTCTCCAGTTCCACTGTCTTTTCTTGTTATTTTTTAAAAGAAGCTGTTTATTGAATGTTGGCATTTGTGACCTTTCTATACCTCTGCCCTGGCAGATGGCACAAGCCATGTTTTCTGGAGGGCTTAGAGGGCCATTTCACAGCTTCTGAAGTAGCTGATACGCTTCACTGAATACAAGCCAAAATATGATTTTGAATACCAGCTTGACAGGTAAAAAAGTATCTATAGCTATCATACAATATTTAGTTAATCATCTACATGGATATAAATCTCCGCGTGGACAAACGCTCAAAGATGAGAACGGACAAGAAGAGACACTATTTTAAAAGCAGAGTCTTGGTAACCAGACAAAAGAATGAGATTTAGTGATACAGGTTATCCTGCTTGACATTGTTGTAGTATTAGAGATACTCTGGGATCTTCAGAAATTAACACTGCGCAAGTGGACAGCTGAGTCATAGTCAAACTACAATTAATAGGGATAGTTGCAATTATGAGCACAGTCATAACTGATTTTGTTAGCTGTTGTTCAAATCTCTTACATCTCTATGTCTTCTATAACACTGTCATAACCAAACTTCCCTTTCCTTATAATTTAATTTGCCTAGAGAACTTGCAAGTATTTTTTTAGTAGAGACCTTCTGGGCTACTAAGGATTTTGGGGATAACATCATAAAATAACTGAAGTATTTACTATGATGTAACAAAAGGAAAAATGTTTACCAGCAGTGCTCTTGGAAACATTCACAGCTAAATGTCCAAGATTTTTACCAGAAACAGGTATTATGAGGAATTATGAGAAGTTAATAAGAAGTAACAGTGGGTGGGTAGTCTATGATCAAGTGACTAAATCCATTTGTCATATGGAAATCATCTGTATTCAGCATAGTGAATTTCAAAACAAGCTTTGTAAACAGAAGACTGCAATCCACAAAATTATTTTCTTGAAGAGGTAGACCTGTTTTCTTTATATTTTCCATGGAGACAAGAGAAGTGTTACACTAAAGCTTTATATTTTATTGCACTAACCATCTGTGGAAGACAGCTTCTCAGATTTACACTGCAGAACTCCCTATTATGAGATTTTAGGCCTAATATATCAATCTCTCTGTTAATCAACGAACATTCAGGACTCAGACATAATTATGTTTCATTTGGAAAGCCTGAGGTAAGAAGGAAAATGATCTGAATGTAGGATATGAAATCTTGCATCTGTTCTGAGAAAGCATTAAATCAAAGTACGAACCAAGTGCTTAAGCATCAACTTCGTGAAACCCCTCAATAATAAGCTGAGAAAAACAGTTTCAGAAATCAATGAAGCTATGATGGGCAATCAAGCCAAAATCACACAATGCACTGAGAAGTACAGTGTTATGAATAATCACAAGAGGTTTTGCTCCAAGATACCAAATAGAATTTCTCTAATTGAAGGAAGCAAATATCTATTTATGAGACAATAATGAACTTTTTATGGGGTTTCTAATCAGCTTGTTTTCAGCTTATTCTAATAGTATTTAATTCACGCCAGAGGGGAACATTTGGTGAAAGGCTTGTATTATGGAGTGCCATAAAGGAAAGTTCAAGTATGCTCGGTTTTCATACAAACAAATTTATTCTAAAGTCCCAAACCAGTCTTATAACCCTTCATTTCTTAGCATCAAACTAAAGAACTCAGGCAGTAACATCAGATTCAGTAAAAATCTTTCCTGGGAAGTTACTTGCATACATTTGTATTTCATTATAAAGCTTGTAAAGAGAATATTTTTCCTTATATAATTACTAGTGTGTTTTTTTGGGCTCTTGAGAAGGTAAAATTTAGCTCATCATAAGTTTTAAGGAAACAGAAGGCAATAATTTGTTACAATTAAGCTTTAAATTTTATTGCACCAATAACCAAATCAGATTAAAGGCAGATTAAGATTTTAACTTCTAATTATATGTTTTCATTAGGAAGTTGTACCATTCAATTTTATAAATAATGCAAAATCCTATTTATTGTTTTTAAAAATATACAATGCATTCTTCTAAAAGATTTCTTTCATAATTTGCTAGTAAATTTTTCATTCAACCACTTCCTTTGAGACCATTTTTTCTCAACCCCCATGGTGTCACTTCATTCCCAATCCACTGCATTGTGTTTTGGTTTGTTTCTGAGGAAAGAGTCCTTCCTACTTTTTTCCACAGGAAAAAATACATATTAAGAGCAGGCAGCCTATTGTATAATGCAGAGTGCCACCAAGTCAAGAAGTTTTGTGGAAGACTGTTAAAAATATGCTGATGGTTGAAAGTTTGCCATTGGTAGCCTGAGTCAAGAGGGCATTAGTTTCTCTGCAAGAGAGAACTGATTTTCATTGCTCATTCACATGAGACGTCTTCTAGATGCCAGCCACAAAAATAGCAGTCCCACAATCCTGCTATTACAAATGGTTGTCTCTCAAGCTGTGAACTTTAGCCAAGTAAGATACAGACAACCTTTCCATTATTCAGAAAATCCAACAGGGCTTATTGCTATGACAATTAATTCCAGCTAGCAATCCTTCACAAGTGATACATCAGGCGAATACGGGATTCCACTAATATTTTCACAGAAAGCTTCAACTGGTTGGTATGTAAAAGTATCATATCAGAAATTAGAGCATTTATTCAATGCTTTTCAAGTTTTTTGGTGACAAATGACATCATGTTTAATGGTTGTAATGTCAACTGGTGTCCAAAAGCATAAGGTACCTTAAGAGGTGCTTAAGAGAAAAATAAAAATTAAATCCAACCCTTTATCAATAAAAATGACATTAATTTTTTAAATTCTAATTAAGACCAGGTCAAGCAGACCATGTAAGACCTGGACTCAGTTCCCAGCTGTGTAAATCACTTTCTGAGGACTTCTGTGCTGACACCTGTCCTGGGAACTCTTGACATTTCTCTCCTAGCTACAAATCCTCATGGTAGCTCAGATCAAAAGCTAATTCAGAGCTCAACTTAACTAGTCAAAAGGGACAGAATGGGTAGGGGTCATTGTCATTATCACATTTGTATCTTAATGTACTCAAATCCAAAGATGGATCTCATTTTTAGGTTTGATATAAAAAAATGAAGCAAAATACTCACTGTTACTAGAAACTTTCTAAAAATGTTGGGTTAGAAATAAATATCACTGGCAATATTTAAAAAGAGCGAGAACTTAAAAAAGTATTATTCAGGCATTGCTTCCAGTCTATTCATGTTAAATAGCCAGTCTCATCTTTCACTCTTCTTCTTTTATGGTCAAAGAAGAAATGTGTTTTAAATTTGTCTAAACAAATTGTATCATTTCAGGCATAGCTCTATTCTACGCTTCTTGGCAACTTAGTATATTCCATCAATCTTTTCCTTGGATATTTACACCATAACACTATAAAGATCAGCAAGGCTGGCCAAGAAAATGACAAAGGCGGCACTCACAAATTGAACTTTTGCATTGTCCTATAGATCACAACCTAAGACGTGGTATGCATTAGAAAGATGGAGTATTTTTAACACCAAGTAATCATGGGTCTCCAGAATATGTTCTTGGTTCAGCTGGCCAATGACAGATTTTAATTTCTGCATTTTTACAGAGACATTGTTCCATAACAGCATGCTTTATAGCAACGATCAACCTTCCTTCATAAAAGTTACAGTGCTGTAAATCACTGATGGAAGATGCTGAAGTCCTTAGTTCTATTCAGTATGAATTAAGATCTGCAAGCCTTCTCTTACGGAACTAAGATAACCAGAAACTGCATTACGACAGTTTTGCATCTTCCTTGCTTTTCCCAGTACACCCGCAACACAATGCCAGGGAGCACAGCACTATGGAACCACACTACTATGACCCCATAAATAGCAAGACACTGGGTTGGATACTCCCCAAAGAAAGAAACTGTTTACTATGGCTTTGATATTTCCTTCTGTTAAAGCAGAGGACCTGCTGCAGCAGAAACACACTCACTGGGAGAACTTAACTACAATGCTGGTCAAACCCTCTTGCTTCCATCCCCACCCCAAGTGCCTTTCTTTCAGCAGAAAACATCACCTTCTACTTCAATTGCCAAGTAATTACCACTGTGAAAAAAATGGCAGGATCACCATCATACAAAAGCATAATAGAAACAAGGAACATACGATGGACATAGGTATTGCTTCTTTTTCCCCTTTCCTTTCTTTGAAGACTTCTCTTTGGAACAGACTTCTTCAACCCATAAGGAGAATGAGACGAAAAAGAAAACTGCTACTAAGAGCTTCATCTTGAAGATTAAGCTTCAGAGAAACCTTCAGTCTGTGGCAAAAGAGAAGGAAGAGGTTTATGTTAGTAGTGTTGGATATTTCAGATGGGATCACATACCCCCGAAAAGGAAGCAAATACACAAATGCTTTTGTTGTGTTTTGGTTTGGGTTTTATTTTTTTAGTTTGATCTTAGTTGCCTGGAGAGACACAGTCTGTTGAGGTGTACCTGTGATACGGAACCCACACTGGCAATTTTCTGACAGTCAAGCTTCCTAAAGTTGAGAGACTGACAGTGAGGAACAGGTTTAAAATGCAAGTTTGCTCCAGTTTGTTTAAGAAATAATCTGAAGGGGGCCTATAGGGATGCTGGGGAGGGACTGCTCATTAGGGACTGTAGTGATAGGACAAGGGGTAATGAGTTAAAACTTAAACAGAGGAAGTTTAGATTGGATATAAGGAGGAAATTCTTTACTGTTAGGGTGGTGAGGCACTGGAATGGGTTACCCAGGGAGGTTGTGAATGCGCCATCCCTGGGAGTGTTCAAGACCAGGCTGGACGAGGCCTTGGGTGACATGGTTTAGTGTGAGGTGTCTCTGCCCATGGCAGGGGGGGTTGGAACTTGATGATCTTGAGGTCCTTTCCAACTCTAACTATTCTATGATTCTATGATGTCCTTCAAAAGCTGTCTAACACTCCTCAGAAACTTGCAAACAGAATTCCTCACCAAAAATATCCTGTCTAACCTGCATTAAAGATGGTTAGTGATCATCTAACAAGGCAGGGAACTGCAAAGCCTCTATGATCTTGCACAGACAAAATAGCAATCATTTCAGTGCTGGCTATGAGAAAGGGTTGCAAATTTCATTTTACGTACAGAATTTAAACACAATTTACTACTTTGCACAAAGTGTTCTCGCTGCAGACCAACTTTGCAAGGGCCTTGCAAAGATGACTAAACAGAACCCCTGATACTGTGCTTTATTGCATTGTATTCAGTTCAATATTTTAACTTCTCACTGGCACAAAGCGCGTACCCCAGGGGCCAGGCACTGAATTTGTGCTGGGCCAGAGACAGCTCCACTGCTCCTGGTTGCAGACACACAATGCCTAGGCATTTCCCATTTGTTTCCCATCCTACAGGTAATTCCCAGGCATCTGCTTTGCCCAGCACAGACATCCCAGACTCCTCAGCTGCATTTCCCACTTTCATTTTAATTTTGTTTAATTCTTTCCAAGGAGCTGCCTCTCCCTCCTCCCCCCCCCCCCCCCCCACCTCCCGAGGGCACCGGGATGCTTCAGCGTCCCTGGGAGCCGCAGCCCCACACCCCCCCGGCAGGTAACGATCGCGGAGCTGCCCCCTCCGACCGCTACGCCTCGCCGGTTTCTTCTCCTCCCCAGCCCGGCTCCAGGCCTCCCACTGACCCCGGCACCACGGCAGGGAGCGGCCTCCGTGCTGCGGGCGCACCTTGGGAACAGCGGGCGGAGGACACGAGAGGGGCTCCCGAAGCGACTGGACGGGCCCGTTGCTCCCCTCAGGGCAGCAACCCCCTCTCCCCGCCGCCGTCCGTCACGGCCCCGCCGCCGCGGCACTGCCGGCGCTGGCCGAGGTGCTGACGGGGCCTCGGATGTGCCCGCCCGGTGGTAATGGGGCGGTCGGGCCGGCCCCTTACTCCTCCGCGGCCCCTTCCCCAGGGAAGACGGGCCCCGCACGCACCCGCAGCCCCGCCACCGCCACGGCCCAGCGCTCACCGACAGACGCTCAGCCGCGGCCTCCCCTTTTCCTCGCGATTAGGACCGATGGCGACCGGGGAACCGGCGGCGGGGCATGTCGCGGCCCGCGCGGAGCGAAAGCGTGGCTGCTCCGCTAGAGAACCGAACCCCTAGCTCCGGCGGTGCCCTCCGCGGCCAGTGAGCATGTGCGGTAGCCGCGGAGCTCTCCCAGTGAGCATGTCCCGGCAGCCCGCCCATAAACGGGAGCTGGGCGGGAGAGCGGTGGCGGGAGCGTCGGGGTGAGCACAGGGGCTGAGCACAAGGGGTCGGACTGGGTGCCGATGAGTACACACCTCCCTTCCCCTCCCCTCCCGTCGCCAGCGGTACCTGATGACCTCCTTCCTTACATCAGTTATTTGGCCTAAATATTGGACAGACAACATCCTACAGCAGAGTAGTCCTGTGCTAGCAAATGCCTACCCTGCCATTACAGTTCAAAGGCATCATCCCCATATGTTTCACATTTTTGTTAATGACCAAGTCACTGAAAGTCATGACCTTTCCAAGTGTTTATCTTCCAGACTTTATTTTGTGTCACTGTTAGTATACACTGCCAGAACTTTAGTCTGCAGTGTGATGAAAGAGCAGCATCACCTGAAGACCCCTTTATATTCTTCAGAATGGACCCAGTGATTGTAATACACCAACGTATGCTTCCTGTAACATCCTGTAATCCTCATCACGTTTCTTTGTGAAACTCTGTTTGGGGTTTCGACCATAATATAATGACAGATAAAAAGTGAGGAAAGCCACACTTTTAGCAAATGAGAAGGAAGTGGGCACAGGACCTGGTGCACATGCCGTAGCAGGTTGTAAGCAGTGTGTATATTCTGTAATACCCAAATGTTGAGTACCCCCATCTGTCCTCTGAGCAATGTTCCTGTTTTAGCTGAATTATAGACACGCACTGAAAATAATTCCATGCCCTTCAGAATTTGCTTCCATATGGTATACATATACTGCCATATACCTGCATACATGTGTACACATACGTGCATGCAGACACAAAAATCTATTGCCACGGGTCAGTTTAAGGCCACTGGTCTTTCACGACACAGTTTTCCAGCTCAAACACAGGAACTTGCAAATTAAACAAAGCAAAGTTGTTTCTTGAAACAGAAAGCAAAGCCCGGAGGCTTCCCATAACGCTGTCTCCCTGAAGGAAAAAAGGTAAGCTTACTCTTTTAAAAACTGTATGAAGATATCTCAGGAATAGAGAACAGGATGCTGTAGTTGTCCTAGAAGGACTGGCACAAACGTGTCTGAGAACACGTAGCCACTGATTGCCATTTCCATTTTTCTGCAGTTTTGTTGCGATACTGGTGATAAGGGCATGAAAAATAGACAGCAACATGCTTAAGAAATGTGGACAGGCGCGTCCCCTGTCTGTGTTAAGAAATCCTTAACGCAGCAGAACAGAACAAGCACCTGCAATGTGCCATGGTAGCAACAGCAGAGGAACAAATGACTGTCAGCACACCAGCAGCCTGAGCTACTGCAGCTGTCTTCATTCTGCTTCCTGCAGCCACCCAGCCTGGCTGCTTGGTGCCTTCTCCTGCACACAAAGTACCTACTTCCCTCCTTTGTGCTGTCTGCAAAGCCACCTGCATTTTCAAGTGCTCCCTGATGCAGCTCTGGTTGTAAACACCTAAGGATAAATGTGTATCTGTGGTAACTCAACAGGCCAGTGTATAAAATAGAAATGAATACCACACACCCCTCAGGTTCATATTAAATAAGAACATACAGCTAATATCTTTCTGTAATTAAAAAGTAAGATATATATGACAAAGACAAGAAAAGGGAGCTGCTTCGGTAAGATCTCTCTGTAGTATCTTTAGGTGTCTTTCACCTCACAAATACTGTTCAATAAATAGTTTGATAACACTTGATTTATTCTTCTTAAGTGCGCTTCAGTGGAATAGGTGTCAACTCTCAAGCCGGTGCTGGCAGTAAGGGGGGTTTGGGAAAAGTCCTCTTCAGACTTTCACCATGTAAAAGCTGGCCAAGGTCACAATCAGCTGTTTTCTTACCTTCAGCACCTTCTTGGCAGGCCAGCAGAGACAGAACAGCTGTGTTGCTCAAGCCACCCTGTCACTTTGCACTGCCAGAAGAGGCCAGAGTGCCACCATGCAGGACTTTGAAGGACAGCCCCCACACCATTCAGATGTGCAACTGTAGCACCAGCTGACCTAGCAGTGCCGTCCAAATGGGAAGGGATGGGGCAGAAAGCCTCCTATAAAAGCTTTGTACCAGAAAGCCATATGATAAGTTCTGGTTCTGCTGATTAATTTTGGTTGTATTTTGTATTTCAGAGATCCTACTGAATAGAAATAAGTAAATAAAATAGATTTTTTACTAGTAAGTGAATGTGTAAAGGTAGACACAGCTCGCTCTCAGCCCAAGTTGTATTTCAGACAACATGGGGGGGTCTTAAGCTATCTTTCCTCTGCTTTCAACTGCTGCTGTGCTCACCATTGGCAATATCTAACCATGTTCATTTGTTTGATTCTGGAATAATTCCCAGAAATTCCTGATCTTAGTTATTATATTGATCATTAGAAAATAGTTAAGTGAAGCATATGCAAAATATAACAAGACCTTTCCTAGTGATCAGCCCAGGGACATTAATCCTGTGTCTAGTTTACAGTAGCAGAACAAAGATATCTGGAGATCCACCTCTGCTGTTCAGTCACACAAGGGACACTTTGCAGCTGTATATGATAGAATTTCTTTGGGTTTATTGCTCTTTTTAGTCTATTTTCTTAAGGAATTGCTTTTGTGTAATAACATTCTGTATGTGTGAATGTTTCAAACAGCTTATTGAAAACTTGGTTATTTTGAAATGATTGATACCACATGTTAAAAGAAAGCAGCAGAGCGCTCACTCAGAGATACTGCATGTTTTGTAAAGAGAGCTGGCTGGGAGCACAGACTGAGCTAATGTTCCTGCAGAAGGAAGAACAGTGAGAGAGAAAGCAAGCAGACTGGCATGAGTGACTACTAGACAACAGAAAGACCACCTGTGAAAAAATAATTATAAATCCTTTAAATACAAATATATTTAATTCATAAAGCATCTGCTTTCCTAGGGGAGAAATTATGACCGAAACCCAGAACTTCTAATGTCAAATACCTGGCAAAACTTGATTAAAGCCTTTACTGAGCTTTTTTCAGGAAAATGAGAATGTATTTTTAAATTTCTATAGACACAAGACCCCATGCCTTAGCTTTAAGGGTAATTCAGTCCAAAAGCCAGGCAGCTACAAAACCCACATCGATTGGAAATCAGATTTCATTATTTTCAAAGCTTGCCAAAGTAGTTCTTATAAATTGAGTTGATTTAATTCACACAGTTGTAAAACACAATTTTAAATAGGAATTAATGATCTGCAACCTTTTTAAGTATAGATGTTTTTATTTTAACCACCTGTCACATCTTGATGGCTTTGGTGATCACCCAGAAGGGGTAGAGGTTTATAGGGCTCCTAAGACAGACTGATTTCTAAAGGATGCTGAAAGCTCTTTGCTATTCTTTGCTTTCCTACTATTGTAAAGAGGTATATATCCTCAGGTTGTTGTAGAATATAGGGACAAGATAGGTGTTTGGTATAAAATGTTTCTCCTTCTGTACCAGTGCCAGAACTGTGGAAGGTACCTGATTTTCTTCCTTCTGAAAAGACTAGTAATTTTCATTCTATTTTGAAATACAGAAACTTGAAGTAGAAACCCAGCAGTGTACAAAATAACAAACAGGTGAATCATCACATAAAGAAAATTATAGTCTGTCCTTCTTAATGTTCCAGTTCTTTCATCTCTCTCTTCTTTATGGATACTGAATGTGACAGATGATCCTTACAGGGTTTATCTGAATGCTGGCAAATTCAGACTCTTCTGCCTTAGTGGAGGCTCTAAAAGAAGACTTTTGAGAGACCTGCAAGCACAATGGAGTGTATAGTTTATTAAAATTACATGACAAAACAATTAGAAACATGTGATGGTAAGTATAATAAACCGGGGCTGTATTAGGCTTTATGTATCTGACAGATAACTAGCTTGTCAAAACAGTGATGGTATATATTGATCATAACGGGCATAATCATATTAATAGTGCCTGTACTTCACAGGAAGAAGTCACATGTTTTATCACCGTCATGGATGGGAAACTGGGATTGTGCAAGATACCCAAAACATATGTTCATGTCAGTCTTATGCATTTTACTACTGCATTTCCTATGTAGCTATGCCTTTGCTGACACATCTCTGTGTTCAAAACACTGTCCAGATGTGTGTATGACTTCAGGATTTTTTCCGCCTGCTCTCTGATTTCTAAAATTAAAGTACTGTAGCAATGACCCCAAAGCTGGAAAGGAGAACCAACAGAAAGGAGCGTAATCCTGTAATCCCTGAAAGGATTGACCAATATTGGAAGCAGAGGTATCCATGTCAGAGTACAGATATCCACATCTTGTATGGAAGGACCAAAGAGGGAGGTGTATGTGAGTCGTAGTTGATTCTATAGTTCTCTAATGTCATTGCCAAAGAGATTAAAATTTAATCCAAGGTCATTGGTGCCAGTAAGATTTGCATTGCTGATATCAGCAGGTGAAAAAGTCTATAAGAGGGTTTAACCTAAGAAAAACGGCCTCCAAAGTGATTAAATTCATAGTTCCTGTTGTTACGCTAATAAATCTAGGACCTGTTATTAATATTGCTTTGTGAAGTTCTGTATGTTCCTAAAAGATTGCTTAATCAGCCTGAGAAATATGCTGTCAAAAAGGGTGTTTTCTGATCTGAAACACCTGTCCTTGTGTTGGAGTATTTTAGTAGTGATGTTGAAGTGACTTTAAACTTTTGTTGCACCATGCAACACCCACAGTCAGCGTAGAGTCCTTGAAAAGAAGTTTTGAACACAATCATATGCCTATACTGGTGTTAAAAGGCTTATTAAACCTCTATTTAAAGTTACCCAGGTTTGTTTTCTACCAGTAAAATAATCTTTTGGAAAGTTCAGAAAGATTCTCACACCAGTTTTGGGATGAAAAAAAAAAATCATTAAAAAAAAAGATGCCTCTCATATGCACATTTAATCCATGTGCTCCCATTGAGCCCCTATGTTTCAATAAAACTGTATGACTGTGTAATTAATTGGCTGAACACAGTTTAGTGCCCACATAATTTCTTTTGTGGATTACATT